TTGAACTCCTGACCTCAGGTGATCCACCCGCTTAGGCCTCCCAAAGTGCTGGAATTACAGGCGTGAGCCATGCTCAGCCCCAAATGTGTTATTTTTAAGGCCATAAAAGAGTCTTTGTCTTGGATTTATTTTTTATCTAGAGATCAGCATTTTTCTTTTGGAGTTAGTCCAGTTAAATCAGGGTTCACTCTTTCTTGGGTTTCTTGCTCTGTTCCCAGTTTTCCACTGCATAGCAGAGTTTCTCCAGAGGCCTCGGCACGTTGTCCGGGAGCAGCTGCCTTCACCGTAAACACCGTATTGGCACTGGAAAAAACATCAACAGCAAGCAAGCTGCTTTGCCTTTCCACTGCCAGAGGCTCTGCACATTTAGAAACGGAACCATGAAAGGCATAACTTTAGATTTCCTCTTAATGTAAATTAAAATTAATGAACTGCTTTCTTCATTTGGGATCTCATTTTTCCCTCTCTGAATAATAGTACCATAGATTCTTTCCTACCAAAATGGAGGATCACCACTAAAGAAGCAGGCACATCCATAAACATGAAATTTCTTACATGCTCTAGCATTCTGCTGATTGAAACCATTTTCTTTTAACCTTAGTCACTTTGAAGGCTGGAGGTTGGTGAAAGCCTACTGGCAGTGGATTAAGCACCACTTCCATTCAGGACTGCAACTCAGCACATCCTCACTGAGGGCCAATATGCTGAAACTATGCATGAAAAGCTGGGAACCACCTAGAGGTGGATGCTGACTCCTGCCCTAAGGCGCTCAGCTCGGTCCTATAGCTGTTGTGCGCCTGCACTGAGGCTTACTGCCCAACAAGGATTGACTTTACCATGTTGTGTTGCAGTATAAGTGCAAGAAGAGGAATTTTTTTAAACCTAGTGCCACAGGATTCAAAGGCAGGAGTGTAGGAGAGGTGGTGGTTTAGAAAAAGCTTCTGGAAGCAGAGGCTGGACACAATGGGGAAGACATATACATTCACAAATGCTTAACAGAACGCCAGGCACTGAATCAGTCTCATTCCAAACATCATTCTTCTTTTTTGAGAGAGTCTTGCTCTGTCGCCCAGCCTGGCGTGCAGTGGCGATTATGGCTCACAGCAGCCTCCGCCTCCTGGGTTCAAGTGATTCTCATGCCTCAGTCTCCCAAGTAGCTGGATTATAGCTGGGACTACAGGCATGTGACACAATGCCCAGCTAATTTTTGCATTTTTAGTAGAGACGGGGTTTTACCATGTTGGCCAGGCTGGTCTCAACCTCCTGACCTCAGGTGATCTACCCTCCTTGGCCTCCCAAGGTGCTGTGATTATAGGTATGAGCCACCACACCCAGCCCCGCGCCCCCTTCTTCTCACTCTGTCAATCAGGCTGGAGTGCAGTAGCACAATCATAGCTCACTGCAGTCTTGAACTCCTGGGCTGAAGGGATCCTCCCATCTCAGCTTCCTGAGTAACTGGAATTAGAGGCACATGCCACCATACCCTGTTAATTTTTTAATTTTTTTTTGTAGAGACAGGGTCTTTCTGTGTTGCCAAGGCTGGTCTCAGACTCCTCAAGTGATCCTCCCATCTCAGCCTCCCAAAGCTCTGGAATTATAGGCATGAACCAACACACTTGGCCTGATCTAATTTTCAAATATGATTTAAGGTTCCTTGTTTGCAGTTAATTACAAATTAAAGAGATTGAAAAATATCAGCAAAAAACATGATCATACTAGACATACTATTTTAAAACTTGTTTTTACCAGTTAGTACATTTTCTGTTGTTAAGTATGCTTTTTCACAAACTCTTAAAGATAGCATGATTTCTTATCTTGCCTTGTCTTTTCTTTCCTTTTTTTGTTTTATTTTTTTTTTTTTTTTCTTTTTTTTTTTTTTTTTTTTTTTTTTTTTTTTTTTTTTTTTTTTTTTTTTTTTTTTTTTTTTTTGAGACAGGGTTTCGCTGTGTTGTGCAGGCTAGAGTGCAGTGACACAATCTCACCTCACTGCAGCCTCAACCTTACGGGTTCAAGCAAACTTCCGCCTCAGCCTCCCAAGCACCTGGGACTACGGGTGCACACCGCCACCCTTGGCTAATTTCTATATTGTTTGTAGAGACAGAGTTTTACCATGTTGCCAGGCTGGTCTTGAACTCCTGAGTTCAGATGATCCACCAGCCTCGACCTCCCAAAGTGCTGGGATTACAGGAGTGACCCTCTGCACCTGGCCACTGCGTGATTTCTTTAACCATTTCCCTTGTAGCTAAATAGGTAAGAAGATATAAATATAAGAAGAGTTAAACCCTGAAAGTATTAGGAGAAAATATATAATCTAAATGGTGGACATATTTTTAAATGCATGATATTAAGGACAGACACGTAGGCTGGGTGTGGTGAAACCCCGTCTCTTCTAAAAAAAAAAAAAAAAAAAATTAGCTGGGCTTGGTGGCAGGCACCTGTAATCCTACCAACTCAGGAGGCTGAGGCAGGGGAATCACTTGAACCCAGAAGGCAGTGGTTGCA